AGGAAGGAGTTCTGTATGTTTTCAGACTCATTTGCCGTTGGCTGTTGTTACCTGGCTTTGTCTGAGTTTTCTCTGATTTCTCACAACATTCTTTGGTCATAGGATAAATACTAATTTTGAAGTATGGAAACAGGAAGCCTATGAAAGAGGCTTTGATTTTTGAAAGTTAAATAAGAGAGAAATAAAAAGCTTTTTCAGCAGAGGCTCAGATTGAAATACTTTTGCATTAATTAATATTACAAGTTTATGTTTATAGTGGAAAAGTTACTTTGAAGAAAAAACATTGTCCTTCCTGATGCCATTAGCACTGGCAGTATTCTTTTCTGTGTCGTTCCTGGGGAAGGTTAGGAAGGCAGCAGTTTGACAACTTCCATGTGCAGCTTAATCCAAAAACCTGATTCATCAAAGATGTTGTATAAGTGCTTGGAAACTGTTGTGGCAGCAATGCCTGAGAAAAGGGAGAAAAATGCTTAATGTGGTAGAAGTGCCTGCAGGGAGTGTCCCAAGTGCAGGGCTGGGTTCAGCCAGATGACTCACTTCTAACTGAATACTAGAAGCATTCCTCTTCATGGTTTGCTCTGAAATACATTCCCAGTCATTTGTGTGTACCTTCTCCACACACAGGAGCTGTTGTACTCGGGTTTTTGGAACCTGAAAAGAAGCCCTTTATTGATGATGAGGTCAGGACGCTTCTGGGAATGGCGGCTTGTTGGTTACCAGCTGCTCCCCAACCAGAAGGAGGTTGTCCTGTTTTAATGAGTTGTGCTTTGTTTCTTTTTCTTACTTCAAAAAAAAAAAAAATGACACTGTTTGCTGTGATATTTCTTTGTCTTGGGATTGGTAGACTTGAGTAAACTGCTGACTACTATCAGGATTACTGGCAAAATGTTTCAAGACGGCGGTGTGTACATGCTAGGTGTCTTCCACATGGCATCTTTGCACTGCTGCTTGTAGAGTCAGTAGACCTGTGAGCAATGCTCTCCTACCCATTCAAGTGGGATAAGAAATTGGCTTTTAAGGTTGTTTGGGCCTTACAGCAGTTTCTGCTGGTATTAATTTTTTGTTGTGGCACATTTTGTTGCAGATCAGGGAGCCTAAGTTGAAGCTGGAAATAAAAGCCTCACTTCTACATAGCAGTGAAGCAAGCACCTTCACTAGCCTTCCTTTCAGTTACAGTAGCATAAATTACGCTCTGACAAGATCTTCTGTGTACAGCTGTAGATAGAATTTAGCTCAACAGCCAACTCCATAATCATTAGATTTTCTAGAGTCTGCAGCTAATTCTGCTCTTTATGGTATTGCTTTTTTTATGCAATACGTTGGTTTGGGAATAATACTGAGATACTGGCACTCCCAGTCTGAGATTTGAAAACACTGTTCTTAAATTAGTTGGTATTTGTCACTAAGTACCCAAATATTGGTAATGATTCCAAAAACTCAAATGAGATTGTTGTGTGGTTTTTAGGCATGTTTAAAGTCAGTTTGTACAATGACATGATGAAAAAATACTCAAGCTGTAGGGCACATGTCTGGTCCTCACAAATAAACTTGAAAAGCTGAGTCCACTGATATGAAGGAGGGATTGTTAACAGCTGAAGACCAACCAAGTCTCAGCTCAGTAAAATGTAATATCAGATCATAGCTTTCATAATGAATGTCCTAATCATGATGAATCATGGTTGTTTTGAACCAGACTGTAAGTTCATGGAAGAAAGCAAGAACAGAGGCTTGTACACATGTGCATTTTACATCCTTATTTTAAAAGTGCCTTGCTTAAAAGTAAGTGATTACTTTTATTGGCCTACACTGATGTGTCTTTTGGTGAGTTAGTTAAAACACATCTCCAGATAAAATCGAGAGAAATATGGCTCTTGCACGTATTTATATTAAAAACTTGAATTAATTACTTAGAAGTAGATAAAAGAGCAAATGTGAACATCTGCATAGGCCTTGAGAGGTTCTCTCTGTGTGGTTCTTAGCTAGGCATTTAAAAGTGAATATGGTGTAAAAAACTAAAGATTAAATCTATCCAGAGAAGGATTTACAAAATTAGGGAGTTAATAAGAGTTTTGTTAAGTTTTGGAAGGTTTTTAAACTGGGTTGATAAGTGTCATATCCTTTTGGTTTTGTTTAAGAAAGATTGATAATCTGACAACATTCAAAATTACTGTTTTATGAAGCAGATAGGGGGTTGACAGAAATAACACTTTTTGGGGGGAGGGAAGGATTGGAGCTGTCTGGGCCTTTTGTCATTGAGGGGGTTTTGTGCTTTCCTTTTAGAGTAGATTTACAAGCAAAAGATAGTAAAGCTGTCCTTGCTGGGAAATGACTGGCTGTCACACACAGCATTTTACTCATGCTGTTTTGAGCTGCATGTTATCACTCCATTGAGATGCTCACTTTACTAAGAAATTTGTATTTATTCTTAAATTTATAAATATTGCTCATCACCCTGACAGTAGTAACTTGCACTGTAGGACTGATTTGGCTGTTGGAATGTTGACAGTGTTGTTTTAAAATATTTATAAGAATTGAAAATTAGTTCAAGATAAGCCAGTCTAAAATTCTTATGAAACAACTCCACTTAAAAAGAAATTAAAACTTCTTTCCTCGTGAAGGTCAGGGCGGTCTGTGGAGTTACCTGCTGGCTGCAAAGCTACCCACTAAACAGAAGAAGCCCCCAGAGGGGATGGTCCATCAAGGATGGAGAGAGAAATGATCCTTTCTCTCTGCATGTTTTTCAGCTGCTGATGGGAAAGAAATGTTATCTTGAGATTTTCTGGTATCTCTTCAGCCTGCAGAATGTCACCATTCACAGGCTTCTGAGTGGAGTGTGCCAAGGGAGCCAGAGCTGTGGAGGAACGTGTTGCTCAGGATGGCCTTTGACAGCAAAATCCCATTCCAGGGCAGAGGGCCCTCCTGATGGAGGCATGTTGTTAAGCCTTTGATTATACAGAAAACTGAAGAAGAGCAGTCAGTCTCAGGCATCAGATATCATTTGGCAAACCGTGGTGGAAATGATTGCTGGTTATTTGGCGATGGGAAGGTGGCAAATGGCTGCACTCTAGTTGTGCATTCAAGGAAAATACAGCTGGGATTACAACCAAAGGGGGTCAGTCTCTCAAAACCTGTTAGTCCTTGGTACATGCTAAGCACTGTCTTGAACTGATGCAAAACCCACCACATTTAATATGTATTTTAAAGGATAACCCAATAAAATGTAAATTCCATTCATAAAAATATGAAAGTCAAAACTACCATTCTTCTGCCAGCAATTACTCATCTGCTTACACTTGTGTCATGTTTCATATAGCTTTGTATGATGTAACAGTTTCCTTTATGATGTTGTGGGTTTCAATATATATGTATGTCTGTGTTTTGAATTCATAATTTAGATGACATCTATAATGTGTATCTTTTAATCTTCTCACTATGGAAGTCACAGCTCATATTCCACATTAGTGTTCTATGGCAGGAACTTATTTTCATTGTGAAAGTTATTTTACCAAAATCATTAGTGATGGTATTTCTTTTGACAGAACAAAATTAAATTTGATGGTATTGTGATCATCACAAGCTCTTTTTTATTTAAAGGGAGTATCAGATATGAGCTGCCTGTTGGTTTTGAAAGGTGATTTTTCACATACTTCTGTCACAGCTGAAATTGTCTCTGGCATTCTGTTGTACCAGCTTTTCATTATTTCCCCTTACCATTATGGTTATGTAAAAATGTCAGTTGTCACCTTTTAAATTTGCTTTTCCTTCTTATCTGTTTCTCTTGTGTTTGTCCATACTGGGAATTTGAAGTAGTGAATCATGTTGAATTTCTTTTAAATGAAATTCAAGAAAAGCAAATTTGTCAGTTTATTCAGCTAGAATAGACTGGGATAAATTGTATTTCAGTCTCACCTAAAAGTTTATCCAATGTTTAAGTCTTGTGTGCATTTTATATTTTGTGGTTTTAGCATAGTTAGGACTCATTACAGTCTTTAAAGGAGTACTTTTTGCAGTATATAAGACATGTTTAAACATAGTTCCCAAACTTGGTTTTGAAGCCAAAGTAAATGAGGTCTTGTAGCGCCACATTCCAGTGATTCTGACATCAGAGGAGTATCTGCACTAATAATTTTTTGTATTAAAGTGGCTGGATTTTTATATGCCTGCAAGAAGCAAGACTGGAGTATGACATGGAGAAGCATTTCAAGGTGCTAACAAATGTTTTCATGAAATCTTTTCTCCTTTCTGGCAAACTTAAAAACTCAACCAAGAAAACTTGATAAAACCTGATAACCAAGAAAAATAAGATACTCATTTTGACAAAAAGCCAAATGCTATTTACAACAGATTTAATAAAAGTAGTTTTATTTAATTTTGTTTAGTGTTTTATTCTTGTTTTGGGTTTTCTGCTTCAGTCTGTAGAGATACTTCTGTCTTTTTGTGTATTAAGAACTAAGAATTATACCAAAAATTACCTGAGCACCTGACACAAAACAAATCAAAAGTCCAAAGTATTTTGAAATATTTGCTTAAATGGACTTGTGTATGTTTTAGGTATTTGAGTGTGAAGCATTCAATTTTCATCATATTTGCAACCCGATTTGCAAGCTCATGAGATTCCTGGGAAAAACAACAAAAGAACCTTGTAAATGTGACAAACCTGATTCATACCAGGAAACTGGATTAAGGCACAGATAACAGAGGAAGGCTGCATCAACTTGGCCTTGTATGGCTGTGCTAAACTTTGCCAGATAGAAAGAAGAGTCATTTTCTGCAGTCAGTGCCTCTCACTACAAGGCAAGCGAAGGCTGGGAAAAGCTGTCAATGGTTTTGAGCTGATAGGCTCTTTTGCCATCCATAGATTTTGAGAGGAAAAGGAGTTCAGGGGGATGTTTGACAATCCAGAGTACAATTTTCTTATTGTTGTAATAACAATTACGTATTTTATAGTGTTGATTCTTTCAAATTTACAAGTTAAGAGTCCTCATTTTGTTTGCTTTCAGATTCTTCTCATTCTTTTCATCGAGATGAGACCATCGTTATTGCCCTGGCATCTGTGTCTGTACTGGCTGTTCTGATAGCTGCTCTGTTCTTTGGATACAGGATGCTTGCAGGTAGAGATTGATGATCTTTTTGGCTTTGCATTTTTCAACTGTTCATTTGGTTATTGCTCAAAGTTATACTTAAGTCTTCTGTTCTCCCCCGTCCCTGTTATACTCTTGTAAAAAATGTTGCTCCCCTTTGTCCTCTCTGACATTTTATGGTGATATCCCTCTCATAACAGTTTGGAGAGAGTGATGACTTCTCTAAGCTGGCATTTTGGGACCCGTTTTTCTTCCATAAATCCTCTGCTCAGCACAGCTTAAGTGAGGTGGTCAGCATGCCTTATAGTTACTGCCAGTGACTTTTGAATTATCAAAATAGTTGTGTAGTAGGTGTCCGTAGTTTGTAGCTTATCAGCACCTTCACTGCTCATTTTGCTGACTTTGAGAAGATTTTACAGGACTTCTTTTTACTTGTTGCATCCTTGCCTACAATATGTAATTCTTCCAGCTGCCAGGTAGGTTGCATTTTTTTCACTTGGAGCATGTCCAGAAAGGAAACTGGCTAATTTCCTCTTCACCCTCTTCCCCAGGAGACCGTAAACAAGGTTTGCACAGTATGAACATGATGGAGGCAGCAGCATCAGAGCCCTCATTGGATCTGGATAATCTAAAGCTGTTAGAGGTAAATATTCAACTCAGTTATTAACCTTTATTTTTATTCAATATAATAGTGTGGTCATATCCCAGGCATAGTTACAGAACTGAATGTATCCACGCTCATGTAATGCTTTTTTTTAAATCACAGTTTCAAGAAGAAATTGAAATAAAAAAGGGATTATTGCAGGTACGTTTTGTCAATTTTGTTAGTAATATTGTTGGTATTAGGTAGAAAGTGTTTTACCTTGAGAACAAAAAAAAGAAACACCGGGAGGTAGTGGGGGAAATTAGAGTGTGCTGTATTTCAGCATTGCATCAAAAGATCCATCTTTTTTACTTGACATTGCTTGCTTTTTAATGCAGTGTCCTACTATAGGAATTTGAAATTCTTTAGTAACACTCTTGGAAAATAGAATGTACTGCAGATAGGGCAGTATATTTCAGTAGTGGTGCATTTATGTGTAGTCATTCTTCAGTGTGGGGCCCTATCTAGCTCCATGGCAACTAGAGGCCAACCAGAACTTTCTGCTCAGCTTGGTGTTAGATGTATCATCACAAAACTGCAAAATGTCATGCTTCTAGTTGGTATGCTCGATGGAACATATGGAATTTTTAAAAGCTTTTAGCCAGGAAAAAAAATGAGTAGAATGACTGAGATGCAGACTGGTGCTATTCTTTTTCCTAGTACCAACCCCACCTAGAGATGCAGACTGCAGACATGGAGTGTGAGTTGCTCTAGGGGTGACAGCAGGCTGTTCAGCAAAGAACCTTGGGTGTCTTCTGCCACCCTAAAAGTACTTGAGGCACAGTTTACAAGAGTCTAACAAGGGGTATTGTAGAGGTGCACGAAGCACCAGATGCAAGCACTTGTACTGATAATGCAGTCTTGGAGAAAACAGTGACTTTCTCCAAGTCTGAAAGTTGGTAGAGAGATCTGCTATGGTGCCTTCTGTCCTGCTTTTTGTATCTGAAGGAGCTGGCCCTCTACCCCCAGTCACAGGGTGTTGCAGGACAAATGTTTTAACCTGTGCTTGCCTTTTGACATCTCTGTGGGTAGATTACATTTCAGGTTTGTACCTTGAAATGACTTGCTGCTGCATTGCAACCCAGTGATATAAAAGAACTGAGAAACAGGAAGTCTTTCCATTAAATGATACTTTATTTTTTAAAACTTTCCTGTAAGATGATTTTATCATCTTTAGAATCGTTATTTTTGTTATGCCTTCTGTTTTCTCTTCCTCCTTCATTTGTAAGTATTTCAAAATGGCTAATGAAATCTTTACAGTTTCATGTATGAGGCTTCCTGAAAATTATTTTAATAGGGGCTTAAATTCTTATGTAGTTTGAATTTTTTGAGCTTTAGAAATTAGGGCTCTTCCTGGAGGTGTTTCTGCATTTTGGTTAAGAGTAGAGATCACATCTTTCTTCTGCAGTTACTATGGAGATGTGAAAGGCCATTCTTGAAGACAGTCTAACATAGTGGGGGCTAGATTAAAGACTCACAGGTAGTCAGGAATTAATTTCTTCCTTCTATTAAAATCTGTTTACCTCTCTTGGCATCTATTTTGCACTACAAATGTGTATTTTTGTTGCCACTGACCTGAAAGGTACAGCTTATAAACTGTCCTAAACCTTAATGTTTCACTTAATGTCTGTGATTTCTCAAGTGAAATTAAATTGATCACATAAAAACTATAAATCTTTAGTAGGCAAAAGTTAGTAAGAGAATTAGCAGCACAAAACACGTATTTTATTGATTCTGTATATATATAAAAGTACTGAATAGATTATTTATGCTATCTTTACTGGACATTCAGACTATAAATCAATTTAGTAAGACCTATGCTGGCTTATGCTGAGGTTTTCAGCTCCAGAATAGCCTCTATGAAAGCATTCTAATTCGGGTTTTCATTACTAAATACTATCTTCACTGTTCTTATACTATAAGTCAGGGTGAAAGTTGAAATACAATTCTTGTAAGGGTGAAAACTTGGGTTTTGTCTTCATCTATTATTCTGTGAACTAATTATTTATGTTTGCATTTGCAGTTGATTGGCCGGGGACGATATGGAGCAGTGTATAAAGGTTCCCTAGATGAACGCCCAGTTGCTGTGAAAGTATTTTCTTTTGCTAATCGTCAGAACTTTGTCAATGAGAGGAACATTTACAGGATTCCACTGATGGAACATGATAACATCGCCCGCTTCATTGTGGGGGATGAGAGATTCACTGCAGACGGCCGGATGGAATATTTATTGGTGATGGAATATTACCCCAATGTAAGTGCTTCAAAGAAATCAATTGGGTTGGTTAAGAATCCTGAGAACAGCCAAGTGAAAAGGATGTACTTTAGGTTTTGGTGGTGCTTCTTGCACAGTAATGTAAAAATAATCCATATAAATGACAATTTTAATGGACCTTATTGTGCGTAACTGAAATACCCTTTTAGATTTCCTAGTTAGTGCTACCAGACATAGTCTTACAAATTCCTAGCTCTGGAGTACTTTTAGTCAGTTTTTAGAGGGTTTTTTAGTCAATTCTGTCCTTATTCAATGACAGAATCTGAAGAGTTGTTTTTACTTAAAAATATTACCTAATAAATTTAAAACTTCTTAATATTAAGACATTATTTCTGTCTTATGACCTCGCTCAATAGCTGTAAAAAGTGCAGATTTTTACAGTGAAATGTAATAGATACAAGATGTCAATCTAGTTTGTGGTACTATAAATCGTGGTGCTTTTTTTATCCTGTTAGCTTCTTTAAAGCCTTCTGTGGCATATACAGATGATGTAGGACATGTCTTAAGAAGGCAGCCTTACTTTCCAGAACCATATCTTCAACTCTCCTCAGCTAACTGAATGCTTGTATTTCTCAAATTCATGGATTGGTGTACTTAATGTTCTGTGTGTGTACACACATATACAGAAACAGAAACATTTAAAAAATATGCAGTATGAATGTGAATAGCTTTCCTCAAAAGTCATAAAATGTACATGGGGGTTATATATATGAAAAAGCAAAAAATGATGTCACAATTTATCTTGGGGAGATTTTTTTGCCGGTGTATGGAAAAGAACTTTAGTTACTCAGTTAAATATTTTCTTTTAACAAGCTTTTTGGTCTCAAGTAAGCAAACTCGTATTTCCTGCAGGCTGTGAAGGGGATGACTGAAGCCTGATATTTTATGGAGGCAGTAGGATAAAAGCTGCTTATTTGAATAGCAAAAAGGAGCATAAAAGTGCTAAGTAGCAGTAATGATGGCCTGTCTTAGGGGTTTTTAGGCTCTGTGTATATGCTTGTATTCAAAGTTAAATGCACCCATGTAAATACATACCTTAAACATAGGTATGTATTTACACATATGTACACTATATACAGACTTAAGGCAACAAAGCATAGATGTAAAAAGTGTCTTAACTGAAACTTTTACATGAGAACACACTCGATCATGTCAGCTTGTAAGACAGGCATCTAAGAAGAGATTGCAGAAACTAGAAGTGACCATGAAAAAGGTCAGTTGTGCCCATACCAGGTGGACAGTGGCAAGGCTTGTGATTCTGACAAAACTGGTGTATTTTCCTGTAATGAAATGAAAGTTAAGTAAAATCAAATGAGTATTCTACTCCTGGAAGGGCATAGCATAACTGTCTTCACAGGTGATCTGGTTTTGCTGTTTTCTTGAATGAAAGGATTTTCAGTTGAAATGCAATTTGACTGAAAATTGTGTCTTGTTGCTTAGGTAAGCAGGCTCTGTTAATGACTTGATTAAATGTACAGATGAAGCTTATGACATCATATTATCAGATTCCTTCCAATTGTGGTATTAAGAACAGCAAGATTAGTCTAAAATCAATCCACTGGTTGTTTGGAAGTCATTGGAAAAAGTGCACAGCAGGTGTAATTAATGCACAGTGTGATCTGTAATTCAGTGAGCAGATGTTCTGCTGTATGTGGAGTTAACAGCAGAAAAGGAAGCCTGCTGTGGCAGCCCTGCTAGAAGGGAATTGCAGTGTCACCCTGGAGCCATAAATCTGATTTCAGTAAGGACTAACCAATACAAGATGTGCAGGTGAACTATTATCCCATGTAAAACATCATTCTCCCTCAAAATACTTTCCTTCGTGGAAATAAGAACACACAAACCAGGGCATTTTTACACAGAAAATTGTTCTTGGTGTTACTTCGGTGAAAGAAGACAGATAGGTTTGACCCAGGTTGTGTTTTTATCTAAACATGCCTTCAGACTGAAGGAAATAGGCAAGTAAAAGGAATGATATGTGTATTTATCAATCAACTTGCTGCTCTGATGAGACTCTGAGGTGTAGTAGGTCAGTATGGGGGTCACTTGTGATGACATAATAGCCACAGAATTATTGCCCCAGTAGTCAGACACTCTTGTCCCTTTAGAACAACATAAAAATTGTTCTAAATCACACATAGACTCTTTGATTGTTAAAATATCAGTTTTATCAAAAGTTATAGTCAGAACAAATATCCTCAATTTAGCATGTAACTCATGACTCTGAAAAGATAGTCTTAATTACAAATACATATACATATCTAAATCTTGACTAAGGCTTTCCCTGGTTATCGTTTTAACTTCACTAAAAGCATAAAATTACAGCCTTTAGCTAGCTTAAAAATTATCTGGTGGTGGGCAGGCTCTGCAGCAGAAAGATCATGAAGCTGGTTTAATACAGTGAATATTTCCCAGTCACATCATGACAACAGTCCTGTGGCCTCCAGTAGAATGGGCTGGAATCTCAACCCACTAAGCCAAGAAAAAAAAAAACCAAGCTGATGACATTTGGAGGCTAATAAGAGGGATTGTTCTTAAAAATCTGTAAACAACAAGAAAAAACGTGAAATGCCTTTATTTCTCCAAAAGATTTGGAGTTATTCTACTGGACAATGATTTTAATCCATGTTTTTTGTCTTTTTTGGGGGGGCTCTTTTTAGGGTTCTTTGTGTAAATATTTGAGTCTCCACACAAGTGACTGGGTGAGCTCTTGTCGTTTGGCTCACTCTATAACTCGGGGCTTGGCATACCTGCACACGGAGCTGCCTCGAGGAGGTAAGGCCAGGAACGGATACAAAGATCTCCAGTATATTCTTATTTCTATCAGGTAGTAGATTCCAGCATTTCTTTTATCCTACTGTGATGAATGCAAATAGAGATTGCTCAGAACTTCTGATTAGTTCCCTCCTTCTGAACAGCCCTGTTCTGTGGGCTCTGTAACCCTTGTGTGAAAACAGAGTGCAAGGTGGGAGAGCCCCAGAGAGGGGCAGGAGGAGGCAGAGATGTGCAGTGCTGCTGTATCATGGCAACAGATTACTGAAGACCTGAAGCACTGGCTGCCTCTCCAGCAGAGGGCAAACAGATGAGGTGTTGTGTCTGTTTTTGCAGTTCAGAAACAAATCACCAAAGTAATTTTTAGTTTGTGTGTGAAATGTGTACTATAAAATTAAATCTTCTAACCCCACTGTAATTTTATTTATCACGTCTCTGGATTTTTGTCTGAGGGTTTGGGCTAGTTTTTGCTGTGTACAAACAATACTGCTGGACTTCTGGTACTTTATTAGAGTATTGGCTGTGACAGTATATTGATTTGGATCTTTCTGCATGCATGCTTCAGTCAATATTTCAGCAGCTAAAGTGTCGTAATTATAAAGTAGATATTCTGAGATCTGTGATCTCAGATTTGTGGTACAATATTCTGTATCAGGCTGCAGAATATGGCCGGGCACTGAAAGGTTAGGGTTTTGGCAGGAAATAAAAGGCTGGTTTCATTTTATCTACATTAAGGTGCTAATGTTTGGATTAAAATTTCAAACTGTGTATCTCAAATGTTAAGCATGAGCATTAGCAAAGAATGACAACTAAAGATACTATTAAAAGTGCTGAAAATACCCAAATCAGTATTCCTTTGTGCCACTGAAACTGCAGCTATCATCTTAACTTCATCATTTTGAGATGTGCAGACAGGTGTGCCCATTAGCAGCCAGAAAATGTGTAAGTGTTCCATCATAAAGGAGAGACAGTCACTGTCTGTGAATGCTAGGAAGGAATACATGGAATAGAATAAATTCCACAGTAAAACAAGCTCTGTACTGCTGGCTGCTTTACTAACAAAATAATAAAAACTAGGAACAAGCAAGATTATTCTTTGGAAAAGATCAGATCCCTTGCAAGATGAATATGTTCAGGCTCTGGAATAATATTGTCTGCATATCTTCTGAATAAGTGCCAGCAGTAATTCCAATTATAATGTAAATAATTGGTGCTGCATTTGACGCAGGAGTGTGGAAATGACAGAGAGCATTTGGAATGGTTATTAGGTTATAACGGCAGCAGATCTGTGTTTAAGTATACCGTGTCTTCACTGCCAAAATCATGCTGAAATATCCAGTGGGAGGAAGACTGTTGGTGAACATTAGAGCTGTATAAGGTGGTAGCCTAATATATCATATATATCCAGTGAAACTCTGGATGCCAGTCAGTTTTCTCTAGATAGCCTCCTCTGGAGCTCATTGTAAAAAAGCAAAAACGTTAGCTTCCTAAAAAATAAGTTGATTCTCTGTTTATAATAGCAGAGCAGACATAATGAGGTTCTCTCATTTTGCCAAACAGTAGAATTGCTCAAATAGTAACAAGCACTTCTGTGTGTCCAAATAGACCATTACAAACCTGCAATATCCCATCGTGACTTGAACAGCCGCAATGTACTGGTAAAGAATGATGGAACATGTGTAATCAGTGACTTTGGACTCTCCATGAAATTAACTGGGAACAGACTGGTACGACCAGGTGAGGAAGACAATGCAGCCATTAGTGAGGTAAGTACAAATGGTTGGATGAATGTTCAGGTGGTCCAGTTTCTGTAATGGGAAATGACTGCAGTATGGGTGAGAAGTGGCTGAAGCCTCCATAGAAAGAAACAGGTTTTGTTCTCAAAGTACTCATCACAAACCTGCCATTTTGAAAGGTGATAGATTGGCAGACTGAAATTTCTGTGTGAGATGTGAGAAGACACAAGGTAGGTTTGGTTACCATGTTCTCTTGCATTATGTGGTACAGGTTCCTTCAGTCTTGTACTTGTAACTGAAGACCAAACATTCTTTGGTTTTGGTGTTAATTTTTCTGAAATGGTGACATACCACATTCTGCATCTTCTGCTTGACATCTAATCCAGGCTACTGAAATACAGTGAGACTGTTTTAAACAAAGAATGCCTAATAGTTCAGTGTAGTTATTGTCTGTGCTTTTACAGAAAAACTTCATTTATCATTCAAAGAACATGCTACACAGTGTTAATCACCCTCCCTTAGAAAGCAAGTGCTAAATTGAAAATAGCTAGTGCAGGAGAGCTCCATCTAGATCTTCTCATACTGAACAGAGAAACTGCTGGTTAAAATGCAGGGATGGGGAATAATCCTTTGACGAAATTCTGTCCTACAAGTACTGATGACTAAGTGCTCTGATCTAAAACATGTCCTAGTGAAAATGAATAGGTATCTTCCAAGACTGTTAATAACCTTTGACTATAGAAGATGTATGGTGGCACCTTGCTTGTGACAGTCCAGGAATAGAGAACAAGTTTCCTATTCAGCAGGATCCTTTTCCATTATGATGCATACCTTGGTGTTTAACAGAATAATTTCAGGAAAAAGAAACACTTCTACTATATCATATTTCATATGAGAACATTAAGGGACGAAATAGTTTTGTTTTGGTACATACAAAAAAGTGACAGAGTAGGGAAAGGGTTTTGTTATGACTAGACGGGTAAGCTGAGTACATTGATTTGGAACAAGCTGTGCTTTCCTTGTAAAAAATACCAAGCAGAATAGCGCATTTAAGAACTCACTTGAATTTGGAAACCACTTCCTGATGTGAAGCTTTGATTTGATGTTTTCCCAGGTCGGTACGATCCGCTATATGGCCCCAGAAGTGCTTGAAGGAGCAGTGAACTTGAGGGACTGTGAATCTGCTTTGAAACAAGTAGATATGTATGCACTGGGCCTTATCTACTGGGAGATCTTCATGAGATGTACAGACCTCTTCCCAGGTAAGAAAAAGAACTGAGGAAAACCGTAATGTAGGAAGTGGCACCAGCAGCCAAAGCTACTTCAGAGCCTGAGCTCTTGGAAGTGGGGAAGGGAAGCAGTTTCCTCAATTGCTTCTGCCATTAAGTCGGTGCCATCTAGTGTTCGAGGTGGTGCTTGTCAGGACGGTGCATCTGAGGGTGAGGCGTGGTTCCTGCTGAAAGGCACCTGTTCAGTGCCACTTGAGTGTTATTATTGTTGTTGTTGTTATTATTGTCCAGAGTTTAAAAATGCTGGGAGTTGGGCTGGTGGCAAAGGCAGTGTTTTCAGTTCTGAGAACTGATAGAAGTGCCTGAAGTGTCTTTCAGACTTTTCATCATGAGAACATGCTGTGACTTAATAAAGCCTTTAGTTAGTTGTACTTTTATTTATGATAGGACGTTGAAAATTCCCTAAATTGAAAAATCCTCTCTACCCATAACATTAGCCAAAAGGAAGTAGACTTAAAATTTACACATGAGATTGTGCCACATCCACCATTTTCTTCTCAAGCTACAGCATGTAGAATTAATCTAAGATGCAGCATACTCTCTACAGTTCCCCAGCTGTACTTTATGTGCCGAGGCTTGTAATCTTGCTGGGCTTACTCCCGAACGAAATACATGAATATAATCAGGCAGTGGCATTTCACAGAAAGTAGGTGTCACCTTCAGGCTCCAAGACATTCCAAATGTGCCACCGAACCAGCAAAGTCTGAGGATGCTATCCTTTGAAAGGTTGCTGAACAGCACTTAATTCATTTGCAGTTAATTCCGCTTTTTTTGGAAGTTAGACTTTGGGGAAAGTGGGGAACATCTCGATAGACAGCAACTTTGATAATTTGATAATGCCTTTCATCAACTGAAAGCCTTTGCCTTTTAATCTATGATTGATTTTTTTTTCCCTTTCTTTCTTTTGCTAACAGGGGAATCTGTGCCAGAGTACCAGATGGCTTTCCAGACTGAAGTCGGAAACCATCCCACTTTTGAAGATATGCAAGTCTTGGTGTCTAGAGAGAAGCAAAGACCAAAATTCCCAGAAGCATGGAAGGAGAACAGCCTGGTGAGAGAGAATATTTTCAAAGAAACAGTGATTTAACCAGCTTTAGGGTGTATTCATTTCTTAAAAGCAATTTTTTAGGTTTTGGGGTTTTTTTCTTCTTTGTTAGTATTTAAGGATTGGGAGCTGTGTCTCTGCCTGGAATTCTTAAATATTGAATTGAGTTTTTAAAAGTTATTTATGTGAAAACTAAATTTCTTTTAAGGACAAATACTACTGTTGTTGTTGTTGCATGCTGCAATATGATATACAGAAGATAACCTGTTACATTAATTTTAGACACTATCTGTAGTATTATGCATGAAGTGCCCATGTGTTCTCTGTGTGCTGAATGAGAAACATGAAGCCATTTTTTGCCTTTTGACAACTTATAAACTAATAAAACTGAACTAAAATATCAACTGAAATAGCTGGCAAAAACATCAATATACTCTACCAAAACTAAAATTGGTAAACATTGTAATAGACTTTTTTGAACTTGTATAGTCCTCAGGACTTGCAGAGGCTGAAGCTCCTAACAATCATTTCATTATAACTACATAAAAATTTTTATATCACTTCATTTGACCTGCAGTTTTTATTTTCAAGACTATGAACATCATAATATTGTTTGTTGTTTTGAATGAGTGTAGCTATGGCTTAGTGCCTTGCTTCTGCAGGCCAGTAAGTTACAGCAAGTCAGGTGAGAGTCTGTGCTTGCTTTCATCTGCAGCAAAGGTCAGGTAATGTGAATCCCCTTCGCTTAGAGGGGGCTGTTTGTCTTTTATTACAATCACAGTGCAATGCAAACAGTTACTGGGTTCCATCTGATACAGGGTAATACAGCTTAATTGCAGGGATGAAAATGGCATTTTCGACTGTCACTTAAAAAGATACTTCTTGTTATTCCCTTATTGAAATGACTCCCTTCCATCTTCAGAGACTTTGGTGGTTGATAAGTTTGTAGCTACTGTGCAGACGAGGAGGAGCCCAGGGCTCACCTGTGCTGGTACTTGCAATTATGTAGGAGCCTGCTTTCAGAGAGGAGCATAGCCTGTAGTAAAACGTGTTGTAACCGAGCTGAGAGCTTCCAAGAGAGGTGATTTATTAAGCACTTTTGGCCAGCCAGTTTCGGGGGCAAAGGGGGAAGAACTAAAAAGGAGAAATCAGCACCCAAAGTATAAGGGAAATCAAACAACAGCTGTTTTAACTATAGCCGTGTTGGCAAATGCATCATTGGAAGAACCAAGCTTGACAGCTGTTTCTGAAGACAGTTAAAACTGAAACAGTTCAAGGTTTGTTTTGTTTTGTTGACGTGACTATCATTTTAAAAGTTAATTATGTTCTAGCAAGCTGATAGACTCCAGCATTATTAGATGATCTCCATATTTAAAGTGCCTAACATTCTTCGTGTTGCTGCTAATTTCTTTTTCTCAATAATAAAAATGGTGATGATAACTCCAGCTCTAAGAATTGATCTACACCATTGCTTTAAGAGAAAAGAATAATCACAGGTGTCAAACAACTTCTTCTATCCTATGCCAGTCTAGGATAATATCTGAATGAGCACTCTAGGGCAGATAGTGTAGAAAATTAAGCTCCAGACAACCTCACTCTGGAGCCAGGTCCTATCCTCCTGCATCTAATGCATGGGATAAAAGACTTTTTCCCATTATTTAAAGCTCTGCTGACATGTTGGGTTGTAACACCTTCATGCAAAGTCACCGATGAAACAAATGAATTTGTCCTTTTCTTTTGTGAAATACAAATAAAAATGTTTTCTTTTTTAATCATAAAATTAAGGTACTCAGAAGATGTGGGATCCTGATTTGTGGTTGTCTGTGCAGTCTTGGTCTGCTTCTGGAACCATCTATGTTATGTTACAGACCTTGATTAGCAGCATTGTTTTTCACAGTATAAAGAAATTTGAAGCAATTTGAAGGCTATAAACTGTGGTGACATGTTATGGTATTCTTGTCTCACTTGCCAAAGTGGGATCCATGCTTGACTTCAGAGGTCAGCACTGACGGATATTAACAGAATAATGGAGATTTCTGGTCCCTTCTATCTTTTTGATGAGTGCTAGTACTTGTAAATAGTTCATTTTAGCATAGTTGTCTTTGAACCTGAAATTAATAGAAAACACGTAATTGTGGTAAATGTGGTGCTAAGGAACTTGAGTTTTGATCACTCTCTATGCAGTCAGTACTGTGTTCCTTTAATGATCCTTAACACATCCAAAGGAGAGGATCTGCTGGGGGACAGACAGTACTAAATTAAACTCTGGTTGAATTTGCTGCTGGTGAAACCTTTAGGAGAGAGTCTTGCAAAGAGGCAAGGCAGGAGATTAGGGTGTCCACTGACTTAGTCTAAATTGTGATGAAATCAAGTCCTAAAAACTGAATGAAGGCATTTTGTTGTGGGAGGGAAAATGGATCCAGCACCCTACCTTGTCTTTGTCCCTGAGGGTGCTTTTAGATGTCCCTCAGCTAAGGAGAGGGTATTGGCTTATCCCCTCTCTGATCTGCTGTGGGAGGGGAGATGGAATGTTTGCTTGTGTGGGAGGTCGTCCCCACCTGTGCAGCCAGAGCTGCCTCGCTGAGCAGCAGTGATTGCCAGATGCAAGCGATGCCAGGAGCCCACTCCGTGGGTGAGGAGCTCTTGGCTCATGCTCAGAGCTAGTCCTGGCTTCCACTGCCAGAAGGGCACAAGGCAGTTCTGGCACAGAGACAGTCAGCAGGACCCACTGAATGCATTAGTGCCCAGATGGGATTATACTCAGCCCTCAGTGCTGGAGAGGTTAAAGCTGGGCTGTAGATGTGAGTTGTGCTGGCAAACCAGCTCCTCTCCATGGGCATAGACTGGCAGCAGGGGCCCATAAATGTCTACCTGGCTTTTGTACTCCAGATGGAGTGGAAGAAGTGTTCAGTGCTTGTAATTTCAGTTGTTTCCTCTCCAGTTCCCTGAACATATGGCAGCATGTTTTGGAGGTCTTGAGCTCTAATCCTGACTGTACAGTTCGTCCCGCAGTGTGGTGCCAGGAACACGTGTGTGTTTCTGTTTCTACACCTGTAAAACAAGTGCAACAAAAATCTCCTCCCATGGAGCAGACAAATTCATTGATACTTGCGAGACATTTGGATGTCACTGTGGAACCAGAAGAAGACAAGGATGATGAAGTGAGCATGGCTGTTATTTGCATGCGGTGCAGGGGAGCGAGGCAGTGACCATTAGCAGAACTATGAGGATAACCATGGCAGCATTTCCAAAATATCAGCAATCCTACAAAGCTCTCATAAGGCAGGGAGAGTGAGCAGAGCACACATCCATCAGAGGGCTGGCTGAAGGCTGTATGGACATTGGTGAATGTAGCTTTCCCTAAGTGTCTTCCCAGTTGGTGTGTGTGTGTGTGAGGTGTGATACTATTAGACTTGCATATTGCTATTATTAGGTTAAATTAGCTTTGGATGAAATTGTGTATCTTCTGTTTCTCTCTTTCACCAGCTTGTGACTGTTTTCAGGCATGCAGAATGTTGCCGTAAAACAGTAAACTAGAAGCACAATATAAAGGTAAAATAACTTAAAGGGGTTTTGTCTCCTGGCAGGCTGTGAGGTCACTTAAAGAAACAATTGAAGACTGTTGGGATCAAGATGCAGAAGCTCGACTGACAGCACAGTGTGCTGAGGAGAGAATGGCAGAACTCATGATGATTTGGGAGAGAAATAAATCAGTTAGTCCAACAGTCAACCCTATGTCAACTGCCATGCAAAATGAGAGGTAAGAAGAGAACACATTTGGGTTTAGTCAGCAGGAAATGCCCAACGCAGTGCTCAGCTCACTCCAGGACAGAAGCTACAGCTTGCTGCACCCATTAAGGGGTGTGTGTTACATGACCTACTCTGCATATGGGTATTGCATGACATAATCCCAACTGCTTGTGTTCTTAAGATCTCCTGCATGTCCCCAGAGTTCAGGCACCTTTTACGTACACAACTGTATTTCTCACAGAGGAGCTTTTGAAACTGAGCTCAGGCAAACTGTCTCAGCAGGCTTGCCATGATATGAAGTGACAAAGTGAATTGTCTTTAAGTACACTTGTTAAATGATGCATAAAACTTCTGTTTAAAGTGTTCTGCTAAAAACTGAATTTGCAGTCGATATGAGTTCAGGAAATTGCCAAGTCTCAAACCTGTAATTTTTCAAAACTACAAAGAGTTTTGTAACAAACTGCAGGGCCATTGTTTAAGTCATTGTTACTCTGACCCCAGCAAGAGAAGTGATGCATGTTCTCTGCTCGTATGTGATCCAGAGGGAATGAGAATTTGCAGACTCAAAGTGCCTTTAATAGTATACTCTAGAAATCCAGTTTTGAGAAAAGAATAATGTTGCTGTATATGACAGTGTTTATTGTCATGAAAAAATATTATGTTTAAATAATAGAATATCTAAATTGTCAAAGTAGCAGTTTTCATGGTTTTTTAGGACCTTATGACATTTTCCCAGCATCACTTTCTTGATCTTGTCTTTTGGGTTTTTGTTGACCTTCTTCAGCATCACTTTTCTGCATCTAAAAAAGAACCTTATCAGTACTTTGCCAACTGGACAAGCAGCACATTGGACAAATAGTGGATTACTGTTCTCTTAGGAAATTAAATCCTTGATGAAATTTTGCCCTAGTAAAACAAATTTTCTTATCCTCAGCACTTTTCAGTGAAGTGGCTGGAATACATCAGTTTGTGCTGTATCTATCCTTAGTTTTAGCATGAAAAGAAAGATATTCAGCTCTCTTAAATGAGAGGCATTACAGTATGAGGTGATATTTACACATATGATCTTAATACCACTTATTTTTTCTTAAAGGAATCTGTCGCATCATAGACGCGTATCAAAGATAAGGCCATATCCCGATTATTCTTCCTCTTCCTACATTGAAGATTCAATCCACCACACCGACAGCATAGTGAAGAACATTTCTTCTGAACATTCAATGTCCACTACACCATTGACTTCAGGGGAAAAGAATAGAAATTCCATTAACTACGAGCGGCAACAAGCACAAGCTCGCATCCCCAGTCCTGAGACAAGCGTCACCAGTTTGTCCACCACTAATACAACTGGCCTCACTCCTAGCACTGGCATGACCACCATATCCGAAATGCCTTATTCGGATGAAACAAACTTACACACCACAAATGTCATGCAGCCAGGTGGGCCCACCCCTGTTTGTCTGCAGCTAACAGAGGAGGACTTGGAGACAAATAAATTGGATCCAAAAGAAGTGGATAAGAACCTGAAAGAAAGCTCTGATGAGAATCTGATGGAACATTCACTTAAGCAGTTTAGCGGGCCAGATCCACTCAGCAGCACTAGTTCCAGCCTGCTTTATCCACTGATAAAACTTGCAGTAGAGGTGACAGGACAGCAGGACTTCACACAAGCTACCAATGGTCAGGCGTGTTTGATTCCGGATGTCCCATCTGCTCAGGTCTATCCTCTGCCCAAGCAACAGAACCTTCCGAAGAGGCCTACCAGCCTCCCTCTAAACACCAAAAATTCAACAAAAGAGCCACGGTTAAAGTTTGGTGGTAAGCACAAATCAAATTTGAAGCAAGTGGAAACAGGCGTTGCCAAGATGAACACTATCAATGCTGCAGAACCTCATGTCGTGACAGTAACCATGAACGGAGTGGCTGGAAGGAGCCATGGTATGAACTCCCATGCTGGCACAAACCAGTATGTCAATGGCACGCTGCCCTCCGGCCAGACCGGCGGTTCGGTAGCACAGAGGGCCCAGGAAATGCTTCAGAACCAGTTCAGTGGGGAGGACAGTCGGCTGAATATCAATTCCAGTCCCGATGAGCACGAGCCCTTGCTGAGGCGGGAGCAGCAGGTTGGCCACGATGAAGGTGTTCTGGACCGCCTGGTGGACAGGAGGGAGCGACCACTGGATAACGGGCGAACAAACGCCAACAACAACAACAGCAATCCATGCGCAGACACAGCTGCAGCCAGTGTCCAGAATGTAGTGAGAAATCCTGGGCAGACCCAGACTAGAAGAGCACAGAGGCCTAATTCTCTGGATCTGTCAGCCACAAGTAGTTTGGATAGCAGTAGTATGCCGTGTAAGTGCCTGCAGGACTGATGTTTCCCTGACACCTTTCTACCTAATAACTGCATATATCTGCTTGAATAGAAATTATTTCCGTCTCTCCTGTCTCTCCTCAAAGCATAGTTATTAAATCTCATATAAATGTAATTTCTCTCAGCGTGATTTCAGCCTTTTTGATGAAGTCCTGTCTCCATAATTTCCCGTATATTAGATCACTATTGTCCCTCCACATACACAGAATAAATCTGTCTCTTTCTAACCCATCCATTCTGACTCTAGGTTAACTTCCATTATTCCTTGCAAATGCCTTTGGTAGCTGCAAAGCATATTGAAGAAGTGTCCCATTTTTTTTTCTGCAGGGGCACATTATGTCTTCTTTTCCCTCATTCTTCTTTCCCTCATTCTCTAAAGAGTAGCTGTTTCTAAGATGCATTGATTAAAATTATTTATTATAATAACTACTTATATGCTTCATGATTTTAAAGCAACTAATTTTACTGTATTAGCCCAGCCTAAATGGAGGAGGCATTTTCTATTTTGCTGTCCTAGCTCCAATAATTAGAGCAGTTCTTCATCAGTTTGCCATGTGCATTTAACATTAAACCAAGTAATTAGAGAAGGAATTTATTTTAATAGTTTATTTCAGGATAACTTCCTCAAGGTTTTATGTCCAGAGGTCCAAGAGATTAAAATGGGGTTCACCCTTTTACGTTAAAAATGTAATCATGTAGTTATAGTTAAATTAGGTACATCCTCTAGATTTGAGCCTGTTTGAGCTATTGGAAAGACCTCCTGGTGTGCATTTTAAAGAAAATATATTTCCAGAAGTCACTGTAGTCTTGAAAGGTGCTTGCAAATCTCGTGACTGTGTTTAGGAAGATGCTGTGATAATAGTGGAGTAAAGTGGGATGCCAGGCATCTTTGGAAATAAAAGGTTTAAAACCAAGCGAGAACATATCTTTCAAGAAATGTAGTTGAATATTCAGCAATAGAATGCTTAAGCCTTCCTTTTAAGTAAGAATACTTAATTTTTGTCTTAACCTGTTGATGTGAGTTGAAATCTTACCGAGATAAAGAAAAAATATTATTGCAGTCACTTTCTTTAATTGAAGGTTAAGTTAAAAGAAGGGATTGTGTAAAATTTTTTAGCAATCAGATTTCTACTGTTGAAGTTTTATCATGGTTAAAGTTGGTTTTGCAATCCAGCATTCCAAATCCTGACTTAATATCTTAACAGAGAATGGACTATTTTGTTTTCAGGTGAAATGCTTTGCTAGGTGGAATAGGATTAGGGGACCTAACATTGCACTATTTAAATTTTAGCCTTCGCTGTCCTGTAGTAGCAATGTTCTTTTGTACCTCCCATTACAGGTAATGTAAGATACTATGATTGCAAAAGCCCCTCAAATGTCAAATGCTGATTCTCCTGTTTGATGCCATTGTGCGTTCCAGGTAACACAAATTACTTCACTGAAGTAATTTCTGACAGAAATCCAACCCTTTGTTTTAGTGGCAGCTGTTGTAGTTGATAGACCTGTCATGCCTCTGCCACACAGTTGCTTCTGTGTTTAAAGGTTTTGTTCTTTTGTTCTGTTTCACATAAGTAGCAACCCCGGACTCCGATCTAATCTTACCTTCCTCATAATGCTATTTTCTGTTCTGTTCTTTTGTTTTGGTTTGTTTTTTTCTTTTCCTTCAGTGGGTGACTCTTCACAGGATGGCAAATCAGGCTCAGGAGAGAAGATCAAGAAACGCGTGAAAACTCCGTACTCTCTCAAGCGGTGGCGTCCGTCAACATGGGTCATTTCCACGGAGCCGCTGCACTGCGAGGTCAACAACAATGGCAGTGAGCAGGTAGTGCCCCCCAAATCCAGCACTGCTGTGTACCTTGCAGAGGGGGGCACTGCCACCACTATGGTCTCTAAGGACGCAGGGGTGAACTGCCTGTGAAACACTTCAAAAGCCGACAAATGACCTTTTTTTTGCATTATTTGAAACAAACGTGCAGAAGACATTTTAAAAAACTGCTTTCTCCTCCTGTCAGCAAAACCCCTACCAAGGACTCGCTTTAAATAGATTTCAGCTATGCAGAAAATTTTTAGCTTATGCTTCCATATTTTTTTATTTTGTTTTATTTTTTGAACGTTTTTGCACTTTTATTTAGTATCGCTAAAGTTAAGTCTGTCTGTTTTGACCACGGAATATATATATGTGTATCAAAGATGTGGTCTCAAAATATTTTTTTAAAAAAAAAGTAACAAAAAAAAGTATTGCTGATAATCAGTTTGGACCAGTTTCTTAAGGTCACTAAGATCATAAGCAGACTATAAGACAGGTTTGACTGCAGTGGTGTCTTGTAACCATGTTTTGATTTCTGTGCACAAGCTAGTCTGTATATTTCTATGTTACAAAGTGTATTCTCTTTTGAGCCCCTTATTTTCCTTGTGTCATGTTGAAATGTGCAATAGTCTATAGTTCACAGTAGGCTTTATTGAAAAGTGTGTTTCTAAAACTGCCACATGTTCCCATTTTTGTATTTGTTAATTTTTCCTTGACAGTTGAGCAGTCAGCCAGTCATGACAGTGAACTTTGCACATCGTAGCCAGCTTGAAGCAGCTGCCAATATCACATTGTGCTCAGAGGTGACAATGCATGGATTTTCCCCAACTTGAAAGGGCTTTAAAAAAGGAACAAAAAAAAAAAAAAAAATCTGAGCTCCGTACCTTTCCTTTGATCCTCCCAAATCAAAATGTGTTTCCTTTATAGTAGTAGATGCCAGCCTGTGAAGTTGAGTAACAAAATGTTGAACAAATGTAAGGAAACAGTTCCAGCCATTTTTTCCATTTTATTTTGTGTGCAGTTGCACTCCCTGTATTTATGTAAAACCTTATTTAGATCACTAATGATGTACATTGAAAAATACATCTTATTCAGAAATATTAATGATTGTCATACTTAAAAGCTTGAGTGAAGATAGGTTGTGAACGTATTTTGTTTACACAGAGAAAAAAAATGATGAATCTTACTTGGCACAAAGCAGTTTTGTGATGAGTCACAAGTCTTTCCTGATTTACCTCCTTACGGACAGTATGGGGTAAAAATCAGCCTGATTACTTATGCAGGTAGGTGCATCCTAATTGATTGTTGTTGCCAAGTAGAGTTGAAACACTCGTCCTCCCTTCAGAGTTCTTAGAGGCCCTCATTCATCTTGTTAAAATTTATTGCATGCTTTTGAAATTCATGGGTGTTTGTGGGGGAAGGTTGGGGACTTTTTTCCCCCCCTGCTTAGTCCCTTCTTTCAGTTTGTATGCACATTGATTTTAGCTGTCAGTGAATGTGAATGTAATATGTATTGAGATAAATTGTTTTTTCACTATCTCAAGTAAACCTTTCCTTTTTTTGGAATTATTGGATTTAGTGGCTACTGAAAGAAAATTAATTTTTTTATTAGTTAGAACCTCCTTTCACCTAAGAAATAGCCTTCCACCTGAGAAACATTCTTTCCAATTGAAAACACTTCAGTAAAAACTATTTGGGTATAAAAAGCTGTAACACATCAGTCTGTGGTAACAAGCAAAGATTTATCACTTCATCTGAAAATGGGTGATGTTCAAAGAAAGAAAATCAATTCAGTCAGCCTGCCAGACTCCTGTGGCAGGATACTGGCAGCAAACAATTGCCTCCCCCAGCCTGTCTCCTTTCCTGACTGAAGCAGATGCTCTCTGCTTTTAAGCTCATTTGTTTCCTTGCCGTTTTACCATTTTTTTCCCCCTGAGGTAAACTTTGCCAACCCTGTTCTTCTCTATCTGTTGATACAACTAACCTAATACATGCCTTGCTTACATCTGGTTCTTGCTGTTCCCCAAAATCCCTTGCTTGTGCTTGATTGCTATGATTTTCTCTTGTAATGCTTCTTAACATTTCATAGATTCTCCTAGATATCTCCAAGAGATAGCACTATAAATCCAGACTTTTATTAAGTGTAGCTGTAGAAATACAAGCCACGAGGCACATTTTGAGCTCCCTGTGTTCTTTAAGCACCAGTTCAAATAGTACCTCTTGTCTCTGAGGCATTATTACGTTTTCCCTCTGTATAATACAGTTATATCTCTCCTTTTTAAAAATACAGCCTTCTTCTGGTTTGACTTTTAATTCACTCTCTGGCTTCCCATCTGCTGCAGTCTCACATCCCAGATGTTGAAAACCTGCCAATTGCTCAGCTGGGTTTCAAGACCTGAATCAGAATTTCTGGCATTCTGTTCATATTGCTCACTGTGGCTGTCTTCTCTTCTGGCCTCCTGTGAGTCTCCGTTTGGAGTGCACGGTGATGTTTTTTGGTGAGCACCTTATCGTGGTGTTGAGGATTCTTCACTCCTTTCCCAATGACTTTTGCTTTGCCTTGCATGTATCATCCATCAGCATTTCAGAATGTGGGCTGAAAACAATATTTAGGACTCTCACTAACAACTCAGACTGCTCTGGGGAGAGAAAAATTACTTCTCTGACTGCTGCTTCTTTCTGCTGAGACAGAATTGCACCAGTCTTTTAGCCTTTCTTTGCAGGCCATGCCTTTGTAAGAAATCCAGCCTTTTTGTGATCAATGCAATCAATTTTAATACCAGATGAAAATGTTGTTCTGCAGTTCTCCTTCAACATTCTTAAACAATACTTTATTTCTTTCCTTTGTCTATTTTTATTAGCTGCTGGAGGGCCTTTGGAATGAATTATAATTAGTAGCAATATTGGCTGTGCAATCTACCATGGATAAATACAATTTGTAACATGATAGAAAAACGTAGTTTATCATGAAATACCCTATAGGTTAAATAGATAAAAATCTATTATTTTTTAAAGGTCAGTCAAAGCAAACTCTTAAGTAGGTACCAAAATACTGTAATTTTGCCCAGCTAGATGAAATCAGACTAGGAGTTTGGTTTTAATGTTTAATTTAGTAATGCCATTTTTTTTTCTCACAGCACATAATCCATTGTCCATAGAATACTTTCTCTGTAAGTTAAATGATACTGAATTTTATCTCATGCCACAGGGAATCATTCTTAACCAAACAAAATACATTTAAGAAAAGGAATTTTATAAATCAAACACAGGGATAGTTGATACTGTACAATAAACAAAGAAGACAAATGTGATTTATTTCTGTGTGAGTTATGATTTTTCTAATTTTATTTGGTTTAAAAAAACAAATGAAAGTTGATAATTTTCTGTCAGTTTCTTGTGTATATTGCAGACAAGATAAAATATGGCAAAATTAAAATAGAATGGTGGTGTAAATACCTGTTAGTTGTGCCACTGACAAATAGGCAACAGTAGAATATTTGTTATGGTAATTTACAATGGATAATTCAAGTAAAATGATAGAGGAAACATTTTTTATGTTTTTATGTATGAGACAAAATGCAAAATTTTGCTGAGAATAGAAAATGGCTTACCAGTAGAAGCCAGGAGAGTTGCTTAGGGTAATGCATTGCCTCTTGTTCTGTCTCCTGTAATAGTGATACCAACAGAACATGGTTTTTAGAATGTGAGGTCTAACCCTTTGAACAGACATGCCTCATAGTCTTCTAAAATTGGTATTTTCAGGTCAGATTATCTGCAGCACTTCTCTGAATTTGTTTATACTGCTTTACAGCTTCATACACTAGCCAGTTCCTGTTACCAAGGCCTTTCTGGAAACTCCAAGATGCACTTACACTGCACAGCTAAATTAAAGGTATTCCTAATTTAAAAGAAAACCCATCAGATAGTATCAGAATATTTTCAGAAACAACATTTCCGTTCTTGTTTTGCTTTCTTAGTGGCACTTGTTTGTCTCTTGTTTTCATATAGAAAATTACCTTATTTTCAAAGGCAACACATTTTGATTTTTTTTCAGTGCACTGGGCACAAAACAATGCAAGATAGATGCTTGTTTTTCAGGCAATTTTCAGGAAATAAGCAACAAAAAAAGTCCACCTCATAAATATGTTCAGAAAGTTCATATCTTACTACCTGTCAGCTTTCTCTAAAAGAAATCTGGAATCCTACCTGCTTCAGAGAGGAGAATAGGGAAGTTCTTGAATTGTATGGAATAAATTATTGCCCCAAACTTAATAGTCATTAATTATTACTAAAATATATATAAGTATACACTGTATATGCCCTAGTCCCAGTATTCAGTGCATTTTGCTCTAATGATATTCCTTTTTTAAATGTTAAAAAAAATCCACTAATATAACATTACTGTGTCTAAGTTCAGATTACAATTTTCTTTAATGAAAAATACAAAAGTCTATAGCCATTTTGCCATTGAAATGTTACTGTGAACATTTTTTGCCTAATTAGGGAGAATGTTAAAATGGACATATTTAGTCTATACATTAGAAATTAATTATGCTGTAATTTTTACTTGTATAAAAATGATGGCTGGTCCCATTGCTGAAATAGGCTGGGTTTAAGCCATAAAAATAATAATTGCCAAGCACAGTAGCATATAAATGACCTGATGTCTAATTGGAGGATTTGTAGCAGCTCATCAAAGTAAATTGAAATTGGATTGACCAGTCTTTGAAAGTTGAATCATAGACTGGACAACTTAGTATTTTGCATAAATTTGGATTATTTGAACTTCCCTCTCTGATCTCCCAGTACTCATTTTAACAGGTAAATGTATTGAACTTCTTTTTAAAATGTGCTTACTATTTTTTGTTCAACCTCAAGCCTTTCTTCAGTGAAAAAACTATACATATTGCAGTGAAGCCAGATATATATATATATATTTTTACGTAAACTCTTTGTGTATTTAGATGCATATGTATGTTGTGTGTAAGTTCCAGGATTAAATTCTGTGAGTTACAGCATCAGATGGTAGCACTGGTAGAAAGTATGGGGGGGGGGGGGGGGGTTTAATTCTCCCTTTAAA